CCAAGGTTAACTGGAACAAGCCTGAGTGGTTTAAAAAGGCAGACGGCAGCTTTTAGAGGAGGAAAGTGTCGCCCTGTCGGTCGCGCTGCTGTCTTAGGGTGTCCTCCCCGCGTGGGAGTGGGGCGTCCTCCCGTCGGAGAGGTCCCTTGGGTTTTCACTTGGGACTCCGTGTCAGGCCAGGGTTGCTCCGGACGGTGCCACCTGTCCTTCCAGGAGCCCATCCCGACCCCTCCCCACTCAGGCAGCATCCCCTGGGCAGGCGGGGCCCAGGCGGTGCCCGCAGTGGCGGAAGCCCAGTGGCCATGAGCACCTCCGAGCTGCTCGGCTGTAGGCCGTTGCCTTGCTAAAGTTTAGCTCCTGGAACAAAGCAAATCCCCAAAATTGAAAAACTTGTTCACCTAAATCACAGGAGCAGAATCAATATGGTCATTTCCTCTTTCAGGTAAGGGAACCGAGGCACTGAGAGAATTCTAAGTTCATAGCAAGTCAGAAACAGGAACAATGATGCCCGGTTTGGTAAATGATCAGTCTCTTACCGTCATTCAACATTCACAGACACGTGGCAGTGGGACAGGAGTGTACACATCCCGTCTCCACAACAGCCCGTCTCACTGAGGCCCGTGGGAGAAAAAGGCCCGATCACCCGCAGACCAGCGGCTGAGTCCAGCTGCGGATGGAGGCCCCGACGAAGCTCAGAATAGATCCTCTCCTGTTCCCAAGTACCCTCACCTTGCGTGCATGTCTCGATGCTCAGTCCAATGGCCCTTTATGAAGCCTCCTGTGACCTTTCCATGCTCACAATCTTTAGCCTCGGGATTGGGGCCGGGTCATGCCTGGAGGGTAAGGAGAGGACGCGTGGTCAGCACACAGCAGCAGGGATATTTGTGTGGTCTCCATGTTGGAACAAAGAGACCGAGATTCCCAGAAGTTGAGTGACTCACCCAAGTTCAACAGTAAGTATGGTAAAGCCAGATCCCATAACCAAGCTGTCTGATCCCAAAGCCACGGCTCCTCTGTGGCTCCAGGCTGCCTGACGAGGCTAAATTTAATTGACATTGTCAACTCATGGTGCTTGGCGCTGATTCAATGCCAACAGGAACCCCCAGTTTGGAGAGCTGCAGAGAAGGAAATTTTGTTCAGTGCAAACAGCTCAGTTGTGACAGAGCACAATTATGAGAACAGCACGGCTGTGCAGCAGCTCAATAGTGCTCCAGCTCAGTGACGAAGCAGCAGGGCTGTGAGGCAGCCTGGGCCAGGTGGCCCTCTGGCTAGTCAGCTCTGCTCTGCAGTCCAATCTCTCCACTCTGCTCTGCCCTGGGCTGTCTGCCCTGCCCTGGGCTGCCCTGCCCTGGGCTGCTCTGCCCTGGTGAGCAATCGTCAGTGTTTCAGCTCCAGCCGAGGGAAAGCAGTCCTCGGGAAAGGGAGAGCACTGAGGGAGCCAGAGGAGAGCTGGCTTATGTAGAGAGAAATCTCCGCCCCTGGTCCCTGATTGGTTTACCCTCATGCAAATGAGGACTCTAAATACTCACAGTTTGATTGGTCCAAAGGGGCCATCCTACTTGGTCCAAATGGAGCCACTCTGATTGGCTGGTCAAGATGCTGATGGCGATATAGCTGTGCAACTCCAATTAGATGGGGAAAGTCTCCATCCTATTGGTTAAAGTCCAATTCCAGGAACTCCTTTATAAGAGCTTGCTCAGATGGCAACTAGCATGTGACTTGTACTCAGCCAGCATTCACCACTTAATCGAATTGAAAACTGTATTTTACAGATGTTTACCCCCATCCAGTTTCAGAAAAGATTTGATAGCTTACATGGGGGAGGGAGCGTGGCGGGGGGAGGACATTTCCATAAGCCAGACACCCAGATCTTGGGTTATTAATTCTGTCAACTGTGATCACCTATTTGAAATGAAGTCTCCTTTGAGTAGGTCAGTGGTTCTCAACCTTCCTAATGCCGCGACCCTTTAATACAGTTCCTCATGTTGTGGTGACCCCCAATTTCATTGTTACAAATTGAATATAATTAAGCATAGTGATTAATCACAAAAACAATATGTAATTATATATGTGTTTTCCGATGGTCTTAGGCGACCCCTGTGAAAGGGTCGTTCGACCCCCAAAGGGGTCGCGACCCACAGGTTGAGAACCGCTGGAGTACGTTATCACAACCCTATTCTTGAGCAAAAGAGGCAGGTGTTACAATTTCTCAAGGATCCGCAGTAACACCTCTCACATCTTTGAAAGTGTCTGTTCAGTGTCCCCGGGTGGCGGCTGTCCCCGAAGGTTGCTGACCGTCTCGCCGTGTTGACAGTGGGCGCCTTGAAGATCGCCTGGTGACAGAGACCCTGAGGCCTGTCAGGACCAGGCTGTTCCCTTTCGACCACCCTCTGGGGGGCACAGTGTCAGGGTTTCCCGCGAAGCCGCCTGTTTAATCCTCACCGGCCGCCAGCGGGAGCTCAGCAGCTGTCCTCTGGGCGGCGGTGCCACCAGGCCCGGAGCTGCACCGGACAGACCGCGGGCAGCGCCAAGTTTAAAGCTGCGAGTCCGGTGGGAGCAGAGGCCCCTCCTTCCCCGGCTGCGCCAGCGCCAGCGTCAGTGGGGCCGCCGGCCTTCGGACCCCTCTCCCCACAGTGGGTGCCGGGGGCCCAGCTAGAGAGCCGGCTCGCGGTCATTTCTCTCCCTTCTTTATTTGCGGTCAGATGAAGGAAAGGGCCCCCTTCCGACGCCACCCCACCCCCGGGGTGAAGGCCGGAGCCCCAGGGCGAGTCAGGGCACCCGGGCTTCTGGGTCCTCCTCCCTCCGTCCCTCCCTCCCTTTCCTCCTCCCCCTCCGCTGTCACTGGCTGCACCTCCGAGGCCTGCACAATAGAGGCTCCGCCCTCCCTCTGCGAGCTCTTCGCCCGGTCCGCTCCCAGCAGTCGGGCCGGTCCTTGCTCCCCAGGTTCCCGGCAGCCCTCGCTGGGCGACCTCGGGCTGCCCGCTGCCCGCTGCTGCCCAGTGCACCGCCGTTGCTGTCGGACCCCATCCTCCCGCCTGAGGACACCGGGTCACCTCCCCCTTCCCTGCGCCCAGGGCTGCTCGCGCCCATCCGGACGGAGATGACCAGGGTCTTGGGGGCGCCTGGGCCACGCGCGCTCGGCTGCACCCGGCGGGGGACGGCCCTCTGAGCTCCGCCCTCGGACTCCAGCCAGGAGACTCTCTGGCCCAGTCGCCGCGGACCGTCCCCAGACGTTCCCGGGCCGAGCCCCTTCTGTCTCGCCCTCATGGCCCAGCCTCTGCTGCTGGTTCTCTGGCTGGCTCTGGGTGTGGCCCCTGGCGGCGTGGTCGGTGTGGCCCCTGCCGGAACCAGCGAGCCCCCTACCGCGCAGACGGTGGCACCCACGGAGGCCGAGACCCTGCAGAACGAGGCCGACAACCAGGAGAATATCTTGTCTCAGGTAGGCGCCGTCTGGCCACCTGCCTGCCGCACCAGGTGGGCCAAGGCCAGGAGGGCACTTGTCTCTCATCCATCGAGTGTCTCCTTAGGGGAAGGGGCGTGGGTCCTCCTCTCGAAGTCGGGGTCTTTCAGGCGATGGGACCAGGAGAAGAGGAGGGAGGGGAGGAATGAGACCCTGGCTCAGGGCTGGGAGGAGACCCTCTGGTCTGTGCAGCTGTTTGTGGGAACCGGTGCTGGGCAGAGGCGGATGGCGGGACCCCTGGGAGATGTTCCGCCACAGGAGTGAGAGGCCGGAGAAGATGGGGTGAATGTGGGCAGTAAAGGACTGTCCTTGTTTCAGGGCTCAGTCCTCACGCCCTATTCCCAGTTTTCAGCTGAGGACCATCAGGCGACGGTTAGAGCGGGGGGGGGGGGCAACCCCTCTCCTCTCGGGGCTCTCGGGGCTGTTTATTCCATGACCCGTGGCGGAAGGACCCCGAGCCGCTAGCTGCCCGCACTCCACAAGCCTGCACTGGCTCTCATAGCTATGCTAACATACGCCTCGTACCCACCCAGCCTCACTCGGACCCCGACATTAAAAAGACAGAAGCGCCTGACATCGGGGTCCTGGGGGCCACGGGCAAAGCTTCCTGAGAGCCGAGCCTCGGGAGGGAGGGCTGCAGGGGTCTCCGTGCGGTCAGGGCGGGAGCGGAGGGCAGGCGGCGATTGGCGGTCAGCCCAGCCGCCCAGTCACCTTGAACTACGACACCTTCGTCCGCTGGGTTTGATCACAGCCCTGAAAAAATTAGTGTTAGAAGAAACCCACCCTTTGCAGGAAAAACATGACAGCCTGTTCCCGCCAGCAGCCAGGAAGGCTCCCCCACAAGCTCATGGCCTGCCGAAGGGAGCCCCTCTCGGTGCCCAGAAGGGAGCCTGGTGCTGGGGTGCAGGGCCTGCTGGAGAGTAGTTGGGAAAAGCTGTTCCCCAGCAGGGGGGCTCCAGAGGCCGCCTGTGAGCTGGCAGACTGAGGAGGAGCAGAGAGGCTGCCAGTGCGCACTGAGCTTTGCCTGGACTCTGGGTCCAGAAGCTGCTCTAGGAGCCAACTCAATCCTTAAACGGAGGAATCCTTACCAGTTTCTCCCCCAGTTCCCTTTCTCCAAATCTAACCCATGCTTCGAAGCCCAGCGCAAACACCCCCTCCTCAAAGTCTTCCTGGTGCACTGTGGTCAGGGCGGGAGCGGAGGGCAGGCGGTGATTGGCGGTCAGCCCAGCCGCTCAGTCACCTTGAACTACGATGCCTTCGTCCCTGGGCGAGCCACCCCCCCACCCCTACCCACACCCCCCACACCCACGCTGGGCGCTGGGCGCTGGGCGCTGGGTGCGGGGCGCGCCCTCTCCCTCTGCACTCTGCCTGGCGCAGGGGCCCCCAGCGCGGTCCCCGGAGGCGCTCAGGAGCGGAGGGTGGTAAGGGACGATGGGAAGCAGGCAGGCCTCCTTTCCTTCTTTACTCTAAACCTGGGCTCCCGCTGGGGCAAGGCCTGCTGGGAGGGTGCTGGGGCTCACTGGTTTTCCCTTAAGATGAGGAAAGACTGAGGCCCCCCGAGAAACACACAGCTTCCTCGGACAAGAGGCAACGACACGCGGTGCCTTCAAGGAAACGTCGCGGTCAGCAGTGGTCTTGCGATGACCGTGAGGGCGGTCAGGCTCTCTGAGTCTCTCTGCGAGAGTGTCTCTCAGGCCCTGTGTCCACGCGCTCTGCCATCCTCTCTCTGTCTGTCTGTGCAGTTGCTGGGAGACTATGACAAGGTCAAGGCTGTGTCCGAGGGCTCCGACTGCCAGTGCAAATGTGTGGTGAGGCTCTGGGCCAGGACGTCTGCAGGAGGGTCAACTCGGGAGCCTCTCGGAAGGAGGACTTCTACACCGTGAGACCATCACCTCCGGCTCGTCCTGCAGTGCGCTGCGTCGCTC